CAGAAGCAAGGCATGCAGACCTCGTCACACACACTATCGGTGTGTGACACTGCAAGCGTCTTTTCAGTTCTTAGGGGAAGGACACATGCAAAAAAGAAAACCCAGGCTTTCCACACAGTTTTAAGCACACACAGCCGCCTTCACTACAATCAGCCTTACCACTGGGCAATGGCCAACTCAATTTCTCTAAGCTCTCCAGCTGGCAATAGGACAGGGCAAAGTTCAATTTAGAAATCCCCATGAGTTTATTTTTGTAAAGTCAAAGAACGTGCAGGGAGCAGGAATATTTTGGGAGGAAAGAACAAGAGAAAATTATAAATCTTGGTTTTGTTTCTAAGATTACATACACAACAATTTTCACTCTTTCTTACAGAAGCAAATGAACAGCTAATTAGAGAGAAGGAGAAAAGAGCCCGACCAAGTTCCATCACCACAGCACTCAACTCTGCCTTTGTTAGTTCTTGTAACCTTCTCATATCCCCACTGAAGGCTCTGTGCTTCATTTTGGATACATCCTCCTAACAAGAAAAACCTTGCAGGGATGGTAACAGTTAACTGAAAAACAGACTGAATGAGAACAGATACACAGTGGCTATTCCTTCCTACATTGTAAGAGTGGTGACAAAGGGGACTGGCAAGTATACTCCAGGCTCAGGAGCAAGACACTGGCAACTGAAAATCCAGTCTTAACCTCAGCAAAACAGTTCCTTAAAACTGCACATGTGGTGCTTTTTTTTGGAGGGAGGGGGAAGTGGGGCAGGAGGGAAGGGGACACGGCAGAGCTAGGAGATCTTGGACTAAATGCTGTTAGAGCACACAAGCTTGTGCCTGGTAAACAACTCCATCATTTAGTGATTTTCAGGTGAAACTCATGATCAGTAGGTCTCTTCAAGCACAGCACCAAGATAATCATTCCAGGCAGCTGACCAGTCTTCCACATGGCCATGTCTTATCCCTAACCATGATTGCTAAGACTTGGCTGAAACAATTCCTACCCCCTCGAGCCCTCCCGCTGATCCTACCACTGTTCCTCACATCATTCAAGGTGAGGAGGGAAATCTCTTACCCAGAGTAACGTTTTTTAGAGTTGTTCTTTCTCACGACAAGACACACGACAATAGAGATGAGCGGTGAGACACCTGTAACCGTACCGATGACTATCCCTGCCACCATGGCAATGGGGAACGCTGGCAGGCTGTCTGGGGAGAGAAGGGAGAAAACATTCAACTCTTCTGCAATCCCTGATTAACAGAAGTGCAAACCACAAATGCTCTTGACCTTGGATTCTTTTAGAGCAGGAGCCACTAATGTAATAGCCAGGAATGAAAACATGCAGCCTCAATGGTAGCTCTAGCAGGCAGCCAGCAGAATAATGAATGAATAGGGCACACACCAAGAGCATTCTTTAAGTCCCTGTCCTCCAGAAGAAAGTCTATATCGAACTAAGAATTCTGACTGACATGTCAAGGAACGCAAGTGACGGTAATGACAACTCTATCTCGTATTGTATCTGCAAAACAAATTACATTCATCCGGACAATTCCCAGTGAGGTCAATAGGAAAAGACAGGCACACTTGAAAGCAGATTTGAACTTAATGTATCAGTAACCAACTGAGTAAGAGCACTGACTGTTCTTTGGGTAGCATGCAGACAGCCCAGTTACTACCCATGATTACTCTAAGAACATTTATACGTGCTTCTGGTGTCTCAGAAAAACATCTCTATACCTTTTTATACAGTAGTTTCTGCCCTTCTTAAATCACGATCATTATAAGTTATTAGAGATATGCTTACAGGAAGACAGTACCGCTTTACTCATTTTTTCCCCAATGCACTTTTTAGGGGAGGGCAGACCAAGCAAGAGCAGCCAGGAATAAAAGCCAACTGGAGAATGAGTACAAAAGACTTACAGGATGAAGAACATACAGATTGCTGTTATAGCCTTTCCCATTATCAAAACAGTAACAAAGTTGTGTGGGTTTTTTTCATCGTAATTAATGCAAAACATCTTAGGCTGAAGGCCTTCACATAAGACTCCATGCTACACTAAATACCTGTATCAAACACAAGTGAATCAACATAAGATAAAATGCCATACACAGAGAATCTTTTTTAAATGCTTGTGTCCAAACATGTTCACACAAAGCATTCCTAGCAAGCTCACAGTCTGTAGATGAAACCCATTTTCAGATATTTATATAGCAGGAGCTGTACAACACAGTATGCTGAAACAGGGGCATCATACTAACAAAACAAGACTTACATTTATCACCGTTCATTTTCAGTTCAATAACTTCCAGGAGAAGGGTTACCTGATCTCTAGCCCTTTCACTGATCATGTCATCGTTCCACTGAATATCACATCGACAGCTTTCTTCGCTCTCCAGTGTTTGAGGCCAACTCATAACAACATGGCAATTTGAAGTCTTAGTCAGAAATTAAAGATGAAGTCATGAGCGCCACACTTCAGAGGAAGACATCCCTTCTTTATAGAACCTTTGTGGCAGCCCAGAGATCCATCTGCTATTAAGGAGAACAGTTCAAGAAATGGCAATTCTTTTCAGGTACAGAAGACAGAGATTGTGTTTGAGCCACATGTGGAGATAAGCAGATTTATTTTGGGGCATGTAAGAAGTAACAGTTCCTTAGTTCTTGTGTTTGCCACCTTTCCAGGTGCAGAAATAAATGACTACAAAAGCATCCAAACATGTAAATTTCTGTTGGTTGACCACCTATTGCCTTGCACACAAAGAAAAAGCCACACGCACGCTTTCAGAGCAAGAATTTAAGTGGCAATCCAAAACTATAGTGCAGAGCATCCTCTGACAGAGTAATACTAAAAAAAGATGGATTAACTGACACCACCCACCATGTTACATTTGTTATTTCTTTGACTTGGTAGTTTTTTGTTGTCAGGGTTGTTTTTTGGTAAAGGGACAAATTATGCTGTTTACAGAGTTTTAAAGAAGGTACAAAATACATCTGTTTACATATAAAACTAGTCTGGCTTTACTACTTCTCAGAACAGAGTTCAACAGAATACAGAGAAGCTTACTTATTCACTTTTCTGACTTATGACAGCGTAATTTAACTGAAGAACTGTGCCTTCCCACTTTTCTGTTTTTCTTTCTGCTGGTAGCTGTCTGAGCTTAGAGGTAGAAAGGTGCTGCAGGACTGCGGCTGTGTGTTACTGAAGACAGGAAGCTCTCTCTTCTTCAACAGTCTGAGTTACTTGAGGAGTTTGGCAGCTTTGGAGGCTTTTGCAGCAGCAGCAAAACAACGTTCTCGTGATGGAGAGTGGAATTAAACCATTCCGCCTCCCTCCTTTCAAAGAGCAGACACAATTTAGTTTGGGCTGGTTTGAGAAGCCTTGGGCTGCCCCCGCTAGAACTTAGATGCCGACATTGGTCGGTACGACTTTGTTCAGGCATCTTTTTCACAGCTGATGCTGCTCTGTGTCATGTATGACATACAGGCACATATGGACATGTGTGCATATATTTATATCTGCACGCATATAAGACTTCAGACAGGATAACATCATGGTGGATTTCTGGGGTGGAGATGGTCAGACAGTCTATTCGGTGATACCCTGGATGCTGTAACAGACGTTAGTGGTGTTTCAGAGGGATAATTTGGGCACGTCTGCTGCTGGCTCTAAAGACCATCAAAAGTAGGGTTGCTCCAACAAGTATTTTATCAACAGTGTAGGAATGACAGGCCATAGGGACATAAGTGCCTATAACTGTATCGGGGGCTATAACTTCC